ATATTATTTTAATAAAATATTATAAAAAAATTAAAATATTAAGTTCTTATTTTAAAAATTATAATATTTTAATTATATAAATAAAATTTTATTAAAATATCATAATTTTAAAATTTTTTAAAAATTTTTTACAATACAAATGAATACTCATTTTTTTATTAAATTTTTACTTTAATTTTTGTCTCAAAAAATGAAAAAGTCAAATAAAGAGTATTGATGACCGGAGCGAACATATATTACACAATAATGACAATTTTTTTTAGTTGCTGCCCCGGTTGAAGATGTTGGCGAGAACAGGTGTCACTTTAGTACGGTAGAAATAAAAGTAATATCAAAATCTTCTTCAATTTATTAAAAACTACTAGGAGTAAGCCAAATTGAATACAAGAAAAATTATAGCAACAACTAAAATATGCAAAACAACCAATATGGTTAAGGTAAAACAACTACTGCAAGAGATACAAGATTTTTATGTAAAATATCCTAAAAAAAGATAAAAATTATAGGATATCTAGTTTACTAAAAATAGTTTTACTATGATCGAAAATAGTATATAATATCATCTTCTAGTCCAAAAACACACCAAACAAAAAGAAGAACATGTCACAAAGTGATAAAGAAAACGAGACCACAAAAGAAGCAAATTACCAAAAAATCAAGTTATTATTTTGAATACGAAATTAAAATCTACAAAACTCTAGATGAGAAATTGATTGTTTAAAATGTAATTTGATGTCTTATGAACACTCAGATAAAATTTTACCTCAATCCAATAATAAACTTTTACATATCAAACAAAATAACAAAATTATGTACTGTACCAAAACTAGAGAATTCTCCCCTGTTTTCTTTCCTCTTTTCTGCCGACTCCACCTTACGTGCTCTCCACCATCTTTCTGCCCAAATCAGACCTCTTTCTTTATCTTTAAAGGGCTGCAAAAGAACATGGCTTAAAGTGGGCTTTACAAGTATGGGCTTAACACAATAAATATTTGGCTATTTCTCCACACAGAGGGATAGGCAACCCACCAGAAGAATCATATGTGAAGGCGTGAGATGCCGTTTCCGCCCATGAATATGGGCAAGTGTAGATTTGGTCTACACATCTCTATGATAGTTTCAACTTTAGAACAGTTGAATGAAGACATGACGCCACCACCCACCAGATAGCCATAGATTAATCTGATAATCTCACTAACTTGAAGTGCTTTCATAATTCCATCTGGTTTTTCTTATTGAAGTTGAGGTTCTATGGAGATTTGTTCTACGGGCCTTGCGTACAACATGGGAGAGATCAGGAAATAAAATATATCAATTTATTCAATTCTAGACAAAAAGTGTGAAAGGTAGTGAATAAAAACCTGCCATCTTCTACAAGGTCTACACCAATTTCTTTCACCAGCTCCCATTTCCTTCTTTCTCTTGACAGTCCTTGCTGGCTCTTTCCATTTACCTAACGAAGAATAAATGTTGGCCATAAAAACGTAAGCCAATGGTCTCTCTGGTTCTGCCAAAAGCAATTGTCAGTCACATATTTCCCAATTTCAGAATCACTGTGGAAATCCTGCAATAAAACTCTAGGTTTCATTGAGGAGACCTACCGGCCTCCCATATATGTCAACAAGACAGGCATAGTGCTCTGTCCTGGGATAAATTCCATGAACTTCAATCATGGATCTCAGAAACTGCACGCCCTTTTCAGCGAGGCCAACATTACTACATGCCCTTTTCAAAGGGTTGGAATACCCCTGTATTCCATAATTAATAAATGCTTTTGCCTTTCAAAAAAAAAAAAAAAACTACATGCATGGACCAAGGGGAGAAATGTAACATGAGTCGGGCTGTTGACCTTCTAATTAATACCATCTCTTTATATAATTGTAGAGCTTTAGAGCCATCCCCATGACAAGCAAAAGCTTCGATCATGGTGTTCCATGATATTGGGTTCAACGATGGAAGACTTTAGTTGCCTACAACAAATCTCCACACTTGGAGTACATGTTGATAAGTCCTTGCTGACGAAGGGCTTAAAATCAAATCTTCTTTTTGATAATTAAAGAGGGAAGTTGCTCCCCCAACTCCAAAGTAGTATCCTTGCCAAAAACCCCCAAGAATCGTTAACAACATGTTTTAATCAATCTGAATTCCTTCCTAGAAAATTTTTCATGAAATGGCATATCTTACTAGCATTTCATTAAACAGCTTAGGTGCATCTGCTTGATGCCTTGATCCCCACATTTTGCATAATCAGGCAGGAGAGAGTTCCATATAAGGAGGGCATCATTGAAACCATCAAGATTCTCAGGGTTAAAGAATTCAGGGTTTTTGACAGAGATGGCATAGAGAGAGGCACCCAGACGGATTAATTTTCCATACGCTGTCTACTAGGAAGCAACATGGATGTTTCTTTGATTGAATCATATGCTACAATAAAAATGTACGGTTTTAAATGGAAGAAAAATGTAAATTCACTTTTGAAATATTGTGTCATGAAGAAATTAATGTCAAGTGCCCAACTGCAAACTCAGATTTGGGACTTCAATCTAATTATATATACAACCCTCTTAAAAATAGCCTAATGCAACACAATTATAAATTTCCTCTCAATTTTTTTAAATTTGTTGGAAAGTAATTCCTAGTTCTTAGCCATTATCCTTATTATTTAAGAAGTTTACATTGTTTACCTTGTTTGTCTTGAGTTAAGGCATTATACTGACTTGTTGATTAGTGTTTATATTATTTAAGTTAGTGAGCTATTAATGTTTAATTTAATTAGGATTGTTGTAAAGCTTATTTATGGCTTATTTTCTTTTGGATAATTAAGCAGCATCTTCATCTT